TTTCCCTAAGCAACGGGTACACGGGTGTTTATAATTATTCTTGAACAGTATTATGTTTCATGTACATCTTTTTTATACATTTCACAATTTTTAAAAAGGCAAAATGAACCCTCCCCTCAAAAAAAAGTGACCCTTCTCCATTTTTTACTACCCAGATGGTTTATACTCTGGTATGAGACTGGAAAATCTAAAAACACCACAGTGATTACTTTTCGGTCTTCTCACTGAGGATTTTCTTCTCAAAATAGCATCTATTCCACTTTCCCTCTCAGAAATAAAATGGTTCCAAACACTTTACTCTCCTAGATGTTTTAAGACGATGGACTGGAACAAGCCTATGGTTTTGCCTGGTAAGTCGCTTCCCTCAAAACAAGACTATTCACTAGACGTGACCTTATGACCTTATGACCTTGTCACAAATATCCATACATGATGTTTGGATGAAAATATCATTGCTGTTCACATCGAATTAACACTAATCAATAAAATTTGAGTTTATTCAGAGCCACCAATTCCAACAGAACTTAGGAATCCCTAAAAATAAAATACAGACACACAGATAAGTATAGTATTTAATCGAAATATATTTGTCTAATATCTACAAAGTGTGAACAATTGGTCTTAAGAAAGCAGACAAAAGGCACAAAATTAGTATTACTACAGAGAAGCATTCATGCTACTGGATTGTATAAATATTCTCATTAGAGTGGCACAGTAAAAAATAAATTAAGCATTGAGCAAAGATCAAATACTCATTTTCTCCTTGCTTTATTATATTCTGGTCATGTCTTGACCTCATTTGTAAAGGCTGAAGACTGAAACTGAACTGAAACCATGAAACACTTATGCAGGCTTTATGGATGTTTTAATCACAGTGGTTTCCTCGCAGAATTCGGGTCAAACAAGAGATGCACTTTAAAAAAAATCCACAGGATATTCTTTTCTCTTTCCCCAAACGAAATATAAGATTGAGGCTGTGGTGGTGCATGTTTGCAAACATTGCATGTTTGCAGTGCGTGTATTTCATTTCTAAAGCCCTTCTTTCAAGATAAAAGTAGTGCAGTCTCCATATGACTTGTTTTCTACCATGAAAGAAGCAGCTTCTGAAAATTGTATGACTAGAGCTTTGAGCATGAGAAATTATCAGAAAGCTTCTGGGGCAAGGAGGTGGGAGGAACATTCCAAGGTAGGCCTGGCTCTAGGCTCTCCCAGGGGTGCTCCATCCTGGAAGGCTCCGGCATAAACCTTTAACAGCTTCCTGCCTGCTCCCCATCCAGCAGGAAATGGCAGTTGATCTGTCTTGCGTATGGACAAACAAATGTTGACTTGGGAGGGGAATGGGAAGCACAGCGATTATTCTGAAATGACAGCCACCTTCTACCAGATGGACAGCAGTAGGGCCACGCCAGTTCACCTTTGTTTGAACAGGAGTTGTCAACTGGAGAATACTTTGTGAGTGCAAAAGTATTTGGCAAAGTGAAAAGTAGAAAACTTCAAACCTCATTGATAAAAAGGAGCTCATAATTACCCACTTCAATATTGGTAAGTGCACTATTTACATGTGTAATAATATCCAGCAGACACAGCGCATGCGTGTGAACGTACAGTGTGCTGAGAGCCTACACACAGATGTGTGTGCACACGCATGCCCCAAATGGCTCTTGAATAAATTCAATCCCATAGTAGAGTCTGGGGGTGCATTTTTCACAGTACATAATTTCCCTCTCAGGTACCATGTCTTGAATGCTATCAAGAGGTCTCAGGGAATACCAGAAGAACCTTGATACTGTACCACTTTAATTCCTACAAAAACAGGACCATTTCTGAAAGCTCTGCATCTCCACCCATTAGTGTGCCTTCCAAAGCGGATTGAAGTATACCCAGCCGTCACCCTGCAAGAGAGAGGAGGACACATCACTACATGGAGACCTGTCGGCGAGGCAAGGGGAGAAGCAAGGGTATCCCCTGCTGCGCTAGTACCGCACAGTACCATGCAGTGCTGGTTACCATCTATCTGTTCAGGACCACCAACCTGTGTGCCGGCCTCTCCTGATGTCTCACAGCCAAGCCACGCTGGTGGTCTCACCACCCCTCCTCAGCCCGGCTGCTTTTTAGAGCCCATGGGATCTTCGTATCTGGCATTTTGGGAGGAAACCCCGCAAAACGACCAAAGTAACGAGGGGGAGGGCTTTGTTGGTTTACATCAGGGAAGATTAGTTGGCCAAAAAAAAAAAAAAAAAAAAAAAAAAAAGGCCTTTGAAACAGAGGGACAGGAGAAAAAGGAGGGTAGTTGGACAAACGGACAGGGAAGACAAAAGACAAGGGCCTGAATAGGAGGAATCTGCCCACACCAGTGATTTTTACCACCCACCAGGCTGGAGGGGAGTGCCCAACAAAGGGCACACGAAGACTGCAGTCAAAAGACATCAGCACACACAGGAGAGGACACCAGTCAAATACCAGCAAGAAAAAGGCAAGAATCAAAATGGTATGCAATCTGGTGCTAGACTAGAGGGATGTACTGAATGGTAATCATGCTGGTGCGTGGATGATTTGTATTCTTTAAATATCCTCAAGCCTCCTGTTATAAACAGACTGGCTTTTCTTACACCCTATGGGAGGAAACGATGTTTTTTTTTTTTTTTTTTTTTTTTTTTTTTTTTTTTTTCGGTACGCGGGCCTTTTACTGCTGTGGCCTCTCCCGTAGCGGAGCACAGGCTCCGGACGTGCAGGCGCAGCGGCCACGGCCCACGGGCCCAGCCGCCCCGCAGCACGTGGGATCCTCCCGGACCAGGGCACGAACCCGCGTCCCCTGCATCGGCAGGCTGACCCTCAACCACTGCGCCACCAGGGAAGCCCCATTTTACTTTTTAATGTGCGACTTTCCACAGAAGCCAGGCAACCTAGTTGTCTCAGAGAGACCAGATCCAGCAGAAGAATCCTTGGGGGATTCTGTGATGGCTAACTTTATGTGTTGACTGGCTCTGGATTAAACATTGTTTCTGAGCACAGGGGAGGGGGCGTTGTTTCCAGATGAGGGTAGCATTTGAATTGGTGGGTGGAGTAATGTAGATATCCCACGCCCATGAGGGTGGGCATCATGCAATGTGCCCAGGGCCTGAATGGAACAAAAGGTGGAGGAAGCAGGAATTGGCCCTTTCTTTCCTGCCTCACTCATCCTGACTTCTGCCCTCGGCTGGGATTCACACTATCAGCTCCCCTGGGTCTCAGGCCTTTGGACTGAATCGTACCGCTGGCTTTCCTGCGGTTCCGCCTTGCAAACCACAGATCCCATGGCTTTACAGCCTCCACAATCTCATAATAAATCTATTTAAATTTCTATCTTCTGTTGGTTCTGTGCTGTTTCTCTGGAGAACCCTGACTAATACAGAGTCACCTCCCCTGGGCAAGGCCTCCAAACAGGGATACACTCAGAGTTTCCCCAAGCAGGCTTCCTGTCTGAACCAGCATCTGACCTTGACATCTCTGCTCAGCCCACGGCCCTAGTTCCCGCCTCTGGGAGACACGTGGCTGCTTCCTGCTCCAGACCAGAAGCCCACCTCAAGGTCACTAACTCTCCCCGCAGACGTCCAGCTCCACGGAGCCATCCTTCCAAAGAGCAGTAGTCAGACACCAGCAGTGCCTAGGCAAGGAAAGCCCAGACAGATTTCAACTGGCCCTTAGTGTTTAAATTTTTAAAAATTCCTTGACACCAGGTGAACATCAGATCTCATAAAAATTCTGATTTCTGGCTTCTCTTGAAGAACTGGGCCATCAGCCTGTGATGGCCTGGAGGTCAGTGGCATCCCCCCTTTTAGATACAGACCCTGGGTCTGCCCCGCCCTCACTGGCCTGTTTCTCTCATTGATGCTGCCAGGCTCCTGACCAGCCTGCCTTAAAAATTGTGGCTCCGGGCTTCCCTGGTGGCACAGTGGTTGAGAGTCCGCCTGCGACCCTGCGCGTCCGGAGCCTGTGCTCTGCAGCGGGAGAGGCCACAACCGTGAGAGGCCCGCGTACCACAAAAGAAAACAAAAAACAAGAGAGACATGTCCGTACCCGTTCTTACACCCCAACCCTCGCACAACGATTGCATCAGTGTTTAAAAAAAAAAAAAAAAAAAAAAAAAAAAAAAAATTGTGGCTCCTACACCTTTGTCATTTCCAATTCTGTTCTCAGAATGCTGCCCGGCTGTGCCACAAACAACTGGGCACAAGGCGCCTTGCCCAGCGGGTGGGCAGTCGGGAGGGGGAGGGGCGTGGGGGTGTCCCCTTCCAACACCACTTCCAGCAGCAGCGCGGGGACGCGGACCCCCGCGGGCCTCCCGGGCACGTCCATCCCCCATTGGGCCCCTGGGAGGCAAAGCTCTGAAAGGGTGCTGTCATGGAGAAGGTTCCAACCCACCCAGGTGTGGAGCTGGGCCGGGCGGGGCTTCCCGACCAATCTGCTACTGAAGGCAGAGAGGCAGGGCCGTGGTCTTTGTGAAGCAGGACACGCCTCCAGAGCCGCAGCCCCACTCCTTGCCTCCGCGCGGGCGGGCGCGCCTCCCTGATGCGGGGGCCACGGCCACCATGCCCAGACCTCCCAGGCCCCCTGCCCGTCCGGCGGCCGCGATAGGGGGCAGCCCGTCCTCCCCGCCCAGGACGCCCGGTAGGGTCACCTCCGGGACGAAGTACTTGGGCCGCCAGGGCGCGCGGAGGTTCTCCCGCTTCCGCTCCTCTGCGCGCTGCCTCTCCTCCAGCCGCCGCTTTTGCTCGGTGGCGGCGTCGATGTCCCCCAGCCGCAAGCATCGGGTCACCTCCCGCCAGAGGTTCCTGGGGGCGGGGGTCATTGGGGACAGGAGACAGTCAGGCAGGGCCAGCAGCCTGAGGCTGCGGTCCTGGGCGCGGAAGGGCCCGAGCCGAGGATGCTGGGCTGCGGGGCGGGAGGGGGTGAGCAGCTCACTCCACAGGCCCAGGGCCCCACCTGCACCCAGATCTGAATCCCCCCCTCCCTCGCGGGCTCTGAGCGTCTAGACCAATCTAGGGAAGACTGGAGCAATCAAACTGCTCCTACAGACAAAATCTACAGCAGACCCTGCCACGGGGCATTCACCACATTCCTACAACATTTTACATATGGATTAACTCATCTCATCAACACAACACCCCAGGGATATAGATGTGATACTATCACGCCATTGTAAAGGGGAGAAAAACAGATCCACATAAAGTGAAGTGACCTGCCCGAGGTCAGCAAGCTGATGGATGTGAACAGCGGCTGCTCTCCCACCGGGAGCCCCGTATTAGGAGTTACAGACCCGGGGGGATCCGTCACATTCATTCATTCACTCACTCACTCCTTCATTCACTGGAGAAGGCGGCAGCTTCCCTCCTCAGGAAGCCGGGGTGCCCCCTCCAGTCCCACTCTGTGCTGGAAGGAGGGGACCAGCACTGAGGTGAAGGGGGACACTTCCTCACTTCAGCACATCAGGACCAGTCGGGATTCCACACAAGGGAACCAGGCTTTGGGGACATGATGTCTCTGCAGCTGGGGCTGAGCAGAAGCTCCCCGTTAGATCCTGGGCCAGGAGCCCACAGGGGAGTGGCCAGTGCATCCAGGACAGCAGCCCTCCTGGGGGACCCGAGCCCAGAAACTGATGGGGCCCGGGCTCTGGCTGCAAGGCCAGCCTGCCCACCTCCGCCCAGCACCCCACCATGCAGAGGGTACAGTGGCACCCTGGCTCTGAACTTACACAGGAGAAACCTCTGGAAAAGGAAGGTGGGGAAGGAGACAGGGAGGGCTGGGTGCCTGGTCAAATCAGTCTTTTCCATCACCTGAACCCTCAACACACACCTGGCGCTGAGGGAAGGACTGGGTGCCCGGACATCCAGGGTCGGGGTGCTCTCAGGGCAGGACCTCCCCTGATAAGGCCCATCATAAAATAGTGGCCCCAAATTTAGAGGGTAGAGAGCCCCAGGGACTGTAGATGGGGTGGTGAGCAAAGAGCCGGCCCACAGGTCAAGGGCTCTGCCCAGACACCCGCGGGGTCCAACCAAGAGCCCCCTGGAGGGGCTCTGCTTCGAAAGGTCTGAACTTCAGGACCAGTCGGGATTCCACACAAGGGAACCAGGCTTTGGGGACATGATGTCTCTGCAGCTGGGGCTGAGCAGAAGCTCCCCGTTAGATCCTGGGCCAGGAGCCCACAGGGGAGTGGCCAGTGCATCCAGGACAGCAGCCCTCCTGGGGGACCCGAGCCCAGAAACTGATGGGGCCCGGGCTCTGGCTGCAAGGCCAGCCTGCCCACCTCCGCCCAGCACCCCACCATGCAGAGGGTACAGTGGCACCCTGGCTCTGAACTTACACAGGAGAAACCTCTGGAAAAGGAAGGTGGGGAAGGAGACAGGGAGGGCTGGGTGCCTGGTCAAATCAGTCTTTTCCATCACCTGAACCCTCAACACACACCTGGCGCTGAGGGAAGGACTGGGTGCCCGGACATCCAGGGTCGGGGTGCTCTCAGGGCAGGACCTCCCCTGATAAGGCCCATCATAAAATAGTGGCCCCAAATTTAGAGGGTAGAGAGCCCCAGGGACTGTAGATGGGGTGGTGAGCAAAGAGCCGGCCCACAGGTCAAGGGCTCTGCCCAGACACCCGCGGGGTCCAACCAAGAGCCCCCTGGAGGGGCTCTGCTTCGAAAGGCTCTGAACTTCAGGACAAAGGGAAAGGCGGAAAAACCTTCAGGGCGGAGAGGGCGGGGGGGTGCGGGGGGGGGCAAGTCGGCAAGAAAAGAAAAAAGGAAGCCCAGGGGAGCCTTTGCTAGAAGCGGGGGTCCCGGTGGCCGCCAAGGGCCAGGTGGTGGCTAGGCCGGGTGTGGCCAGCATTGCCACATGGAGGGCTCCAGCCCGAGCAGGATGCCTGCGCGGGCCGGGCTCTGAGCATCGCGAGCACATTGACAGCAGTGGGCCGAGTAAGAGCAGCTTCACTCTCCCCTTAATGCGGCAGGGGTTCCCCTCCACAGGGGCTGGTGGGGCCGGGCCACTGTGGGGCTGAGACCACTAGGTGGGCCCTCCTTCGCCTCCTCAGGTGAGGCCTGGCACAGGTGACTGAGTGGCAGGCACTACACCTCAAGGCCATTCCCGCCTCGGAGAACAAGGTGGGCTGCTGGGTTTGTCAACAGCCCAGGTTCAGGTTCCAGTAAAGTCCACGTATGCGAGACGAGAAGAGGCAATACGCCCCTCTCTCTGGCTCCAGACTCCATCCTCCATCCATTCCACTCCCAGCAAGGCTTAATGAGGAGCAGCTAACCTACTCAACAGTCTTGGAAGAACAGCTCAAAGGAATCATAGTTGTGTCCTCAACAGCCATACCAGAAACAAGCAGTGCTGTGCCAGCAACCACAGGGCTCCTGATTCTGGGGAGGTGTCATCAGAGGCCAGGGGAGGGATTCCTTCCTGTCACAGCCCAAAGGGCTGGGTTCACGCCCTCCATTTGGACTCAGAGAAGGTTACACTCTGATCAACAAGAACGAGTGGACTAATCCTACCACAAAGCCAAGTTTCCAGGACACTGCAGCCCTCTTTCTATTAAACTCAGTGGTAATGTATGATTTATACACACTGGTATCCCTGCTTTGTTTCCACATAAAAAGCACCTTTCCAATTTCATTACAAACTCTTCTTGTAATGGCAAACCCTTTCAAAGAATCATCTGTAATTTCAGTTTAACCCTATATCCTCTTTCTACAGAGCAGCATGCTCTTAGATAAGAGCGGGGCCAGCAAATGTTCTCTGTAAAGGGCCAGAGACTAAACGTTTTAGGCTCTGCAGGCCATTTGGTCTTGGTCACAACTGTTTCACTACTATTGTAGCCAGAGGGCAGCCACAAACAAGATACAAACAAATGGACGCAGCTGCGTTCCTGTAAAATTTTACAAAAATCAGCCAGAGATGGGATCTGGCCCATGGGCCATAGCTGGCTGACCTCCTGGATTAAAAAATTAAAATGGCATATTTCCAGAAGATTCTGCTTCTGTACCTGCATAAACATCACTTTAAGTGGCTTGCGGGATTATTCACATGATAGGGTGAATTCTCCATAATTCACTTAACTGTTTTCCAATTGTTGCACGGTTAGATGGTTTCTTTTTCTTACTTTTGTTTATCTTTTAGTTTTTTTTTTTTAAATATCCAAATTTTATATTTAAAACCTTTTGTGAATTGAAGAATTTTCCCTTAGATGAAATTCCCAGAAATGGACTACAAGAGGTAAACTCACAAATTTAAAGCTACCGATCCATGCAGCTAACCTGCACACCTTCATACCGGAAGCACAGGGCATAGAGGGTTAATTTTATCACAGCCTTGCAGGCACTGAATTTTTTTGAATTATGTTGCTAATCTGGTAAGAAAAAAAAAAGTATCTCATTGCTTTGCTGCACAGTTCTTTGATTACTAGCATCTCTCTGTATTTAACTTTGCAATTAAGTAACAGACCCACAGAGTTGACAAACTCTTTTTTAGGACAGGCATTAAGGTCTGGGCGGGCTGTTTTCACACTCCACCCCATGACTGCAGAGCAACTAAACAAAGGATCTACACCTAAGTGACACACAGAGGACAATTCAAGTTTGCAAAGGAATGATTCCTGGCCCCTTTGCATTGGGTTTCCTCTCTGCCCCTTGGGTCAAGTGCTGAGGACAACAAAGCTTGGAGAGGAGCACATGGCCTGGCCCCCACCTGGACTCCATGGGGCCCTGCTTCTCCAGGGGTCGGATCTTCTTTGGGTACACTGGCAGCACGGTCGTGTCAATGACCTTGGTCTCCCCGTTGTTGTAGGTGAACTCTAGGGTCCCATTCCACTCCCCGTGGGCTTTGCACACAATGGTGTTGGTCGGATTGTGCTTCACTTCTGCTGTGACCCTGAATTAATGAAGCATCGAATAAACACGCTTTGAAAGATTATTAGAACAGAGACCAACTTCAAAAGGCATCCTCACACGTAGAGATTTTTTTTATGGGGTTGCTTTTTGCTCTTTTGCTCAAAGACTAGCTCTTAAAATGTGATCTAATATCCTTGAGCAGAAAAAAGAAAGCATCAGTGGGAAAACAGGTAGGATCTGAATAAAGTCTGTAGATTAGCTCATAGGAATGCAGCGATGTTAATTTCTTAGTTTTTTTTCAATTGAAGGATAGTTAATTTACAATGTTGTGTTAGTTTCAAGTATACAGCAAAGTGATTCAGTTACACACACACACACACACACACACACACACACACCCTTCTCCCTCAAACAGCAACTAATAGTGTACATTTCAACCACCAAAAGAGTGTCAGAGTCTAGGGGGAACTTTTCCATCACTAAACAAGGTCGACCCCCTCCAGCCTGGCTTCACAAGGGCCCCTGGTGGAGATGTGGCCCTTTGCCTCACCCACCCGGCCCGGGGGCTCCGGGTCTCAGCTCTGGGTGAAGGCAGAGCCCACCTCCCTCTCTCCAGGAGCCTGCTGCAGGCAGAGTAACACAGCAGAAACGGGAGGTGGAGGAGCCCGGGGCCTCTTTTTCTTTATTTTTGGAGGAGGGGCCTCTCACTGCTGCGGCCCCTCCCGTTGCGGAGCACAGGCTCCGGACGCGCAGGCTCAGCGGCCATGGCTCACGGGCCCAGCCGCTCCGCGGCACGTGGGATCTTCTCGGAACGGGGCACGAACCCGTGTCCCCTGCATCGGCAGGTGGACCCCCAACCACTGCGCCACCGGGGAAGCCCCGGTTCCTCTTTTTCTAATGGCGAAGCTCGGGATGAATTTGGTGTTTGCAAACCTAGGTCTGGAATTTTTCTCCCTGAGCCTGAACACCGCCCGGGAGCCCAGGCGGCTCCTCCCAATGGCACACAGCGGAAGGGTATCCGTGCTGTGCTGGTAACGCCTTAACAACGGGCTCGCCAGGAGGGAAAACGCCTGGTTTACAGCTTTTGCCAGTTTCTGTGCTGCCCCACCCACAGCGGATCTCAAGCTACCACTGGGGCATGAGGGGCCGCGGAGCTGGGGAGAAACGCGCATAATCAGCTCTTGGGGGCTGGTATGTTTGGCTCCAAAACGGCCACTGAAGGTGCCTACTTTCCAGGGGACACTCCAGCACCCCACATGAACGCCACCTGGAAAAGCTTTCCAAGAAAAAGGTCAAAGATGGGGGCTTGCTTATTATCCAGCGATCTGCTCCAAAGGGGGAAATTTATAATTAGAGCCATAAAAACGAGGTGATGCTCCCCTCAAACAGCGGGCCTCTCCTTCTGTTTCTTAGGACTGCTTCCCAGATTCCAAAAGGAGAGAAACGGTCCTGCTCTCATAGATGCAGGATTCGGGATGTTGCATGGAGCTCACAGAACAACTGCATCAGTGCAGGTCAGGCCTCGGGCCTCGGAAGCGAGAGGTTACGATAACACCAGAAGCCCTTTGTTCTCTGGGGCATGTTCCGCCAACACATCACCGGACTGGGGAGGGTTCAAGACGCCGCCGGTGAGACGTGTCATCTGAAACAGATCTGTTAAATTGATCTTGATTTTTCAACTCATCCCACGTCTGGAACCCAGTCTTCTGATGCAGACAAGAAACCTGGGGTATCGTGTTCGGACAGAGTCGGAGTCTCCCTGGCCCCTCCTACCTGTGGACCTTCCCCCCGTAGAAAGGCTTTGTGTGGAAGATCACTGTCGCTGAGTACCCGGTCTTGGCGCAGGTGATGCTGACTTTTCCTCCGAGCTCCACCCAAGGGATGGTGAGGATGGACCGGGCGTAGGCACTGGGCAGGGTGAACACATACTCCTCCCCATGCTCCAGGAGCCGCAGCACACCTGAGGAAGACAGGAGGGAAGGGTTAGGCTCGCACACGAGGAAAGCGCAGCTGGTGAAACCGAGGAGGACCCTGAGTGGCTCCAGGGCACGGAGGCCTTTTTGTCTTCCGTTTCTTGTAGCCTCCATGACCTTCCCTGAGTTCCAAAGGGCAGATTGCAACAGTTGCTAATCAAAGGAGGCGCAGCCAAGAAACCAACCACCAGAGGCAAAAGATTAAAGGAACCGAGAAGCTCATCAAGATTAGGAGACCTGGGCTTCCCTGGTGGCGCAGTGGTTGAGAGTCCGCCTGCCGATGCAGGGGACACGGGTAGGGGACGTGGGTTCGTGCCCCGGTCCAGGAAGATCCACCTGAGACCCTGCACACACCCTAATCTTGTCAGCAACCCCACCCTTGAACCATTGCTATAAAACTCCTCATCAAATCCTCCCCAATTGGGACACACAGTTTTGTGGGGCAGGAGCCCTCTGTGGCCCCCTTTGTCTGGCAAAGCAATAAAGCTATCCCTTTCTACTTTACCCAAAACTGTCTCCGAGATTCGATTCAGCACCGGTGCACAGAGAAGCTGAGCTTTGGGCATCACTGGGGACCAGAAGATGCAAAGATGAGAGACCAAACACGCTCCTGCAACAGACGTCACGCCTCCCACCTCCCCTCCCACCTCCGCAAAGGCCGGCCACCCACGTGCCATTTATCTACTTGCTGCATCTCTACTGCATGAGAGATGCTGAGAACACATGGTGAACAAGACAGACCCGCTCTCTGCCCTCAAGGAGCCAAAGAGAAAGGTGGGCGTGAATGAAGCACTCGCAAACACAAAACTGTGACTGTGATGGGGTGGGAGGGGGAGGTGCCCGGGGCCTCCAGCAGCAGGAGCTGAGCTGGGAGGGGAGGCTTCCCGGTGGAAGGGACACTCGAGCTGGGTAAGAGTTGAGTTGGGGAAGAGGGGAGGGAAAGTAGAAGCAGGGGGAGGCATGTGCAAAGGCCCTGTGGTGGGAAGGAGCCAGGTGAGCACGGGGGTCTGAGAAAAGGGCCCCAGGGAAGAAACGGAAGTGGTGGGTATAGGTATGGAGGCTGCCCAGGTCTACAGGGGCCAGGCCTCATCTTTAAACTTCGAAAAAGCCTGTTAAGGAGTTCTGCCTTTATCCTGAGAGCAGCAGAGACAACCTCAAAGGTTTTCAGGAAGTTACAAAGCAGAGTGCACAGCTGCTGTCACCACCCGGGCGGGGGGGGGCACCCACCCCTTGATCAGAAAGAGTTCTCCAGGCTGGGAGCCAAGTACTAGTCTCGGAGAGATCTGATCCTCTTGAAACAATGCAAAATGACGTGGGCTTCTCTCTTTTTCTAGGGAAAGGAACCACAGTTTTGAACAAGTTCTCAAAGGCTGCCGTGAACTATCCCGACAGGTGCCATCTCCCGGGGCTGCTGTACAGCTGGTGCATTGACACCCAGCCCCTGCTCTGGCCTGTCCGGTCGGGCACCCACAGGGCCCCCTCTGCTGAGGGCAGCACCTCCTGGGCTGGCAGAGGCCTGGGAACCAACACGCCTGGCTCACTGAAGTTTGCTCTGTGTGAGGGGCCTTCTCGGCCTCCCACCCCACACTGGGGCTTCGCTCCCTGTAGAAAAGCCCTCCCAGCTCTATTCCTGCCCACTCTGGGCCTGCAATGGTCAAGTGCAGCAAGAGCCTCAGGAAGGTCAGTTCTGTCCTTCGGCCGGAACTCTGTGACTGGAGGTGTTAGTGATGTCCCCTCCCTGGTCCCCTGGTTCCTCCACTGGAAAGAGCGAGGAGGGGGCTCCATGTGCCCTGGGGGACCCTTCCTGGCCACCCAGCACTTCCAGGGGCTTCACGTGCAGTGTCTTCTGTGAGCTTCACAACTACTCAACGCAGCATTAATTATTATCATTTTTAAATGAGGAGGTGGAAACGGAAACTCAGAGGGGTTAAGTAATTTGACTGGTCGGTACTTCTGTCTGAGGCTAGGTGTCAATCAACAGAGCTAGATTACTCAGCCCTAAAAAAGAATGAAATCATGCCATTTTCAGCAACAGGGATGGACCTAGAGTTGATCATACTAAGTGAAGTAAGTCAGATAAAGACAAATATCATACGATATCACTTATATGTGGAACCTAAAATATGACACAAATGAACTTATCTATGAAACGGATTCACAGACAGAGAACAGACCTGTGGTTGCCAAGGGGGAGGGGGGTTGAGAGAGGGATGGAGGGGGAGTTTGGGAGGAGCAGATGCAAACTATTATACATAGGATGGATAAACAAGGTCCTACTGTATAGCACAGGGAACTATATTCAACATCCTGTAATAAACCATAATGGAAAAGAATGTATTATCCACACACACACACACACACACACACACACGCACACACACATTATAACTGAGTCACTGTGGTGTATAGCAGAAATTAACACAACACTTCAATCAGATTAAAATAAAATTTTAAAAAATCAATCAATCAACAGAGCTAGAATCTGCCCAGCAGAGAGACAGTGCATGTGTGTGTGTCCCTTTCAGCCCTGGGGAGCTTGCCAGGAGAGTCTGAGGAGAGGGGACTAAAGGTACAAAGGGATCAAGAATGCTGAGTTTCCGAAGTCAGTACGAAGATGTACTCAGGAGTCACTCAATTTACCCTTAAAAACTCCTTGCATCGCCCATGAGCCACAGTTTTTGGAACAAACCAGGCTTGTCCAGAGCCCACAACCTCACCCCCAGGTAAGTCCAGCAAAGTTACACCTGCTGACCCACAGACACAGGGGGCCGGTGTGAAAACCCCAGGGGACGGGCCCATGTGTGTCTGGGGGTCGTGACCTCCCCCAGGGAGGCGGGATGCTCACACATGGGCACAGGCAGTGGAGAAGACCCCCCCCCACCCCCGCCCGCCGAGAAAAAGCAGACTCAGGTCACTCACAATCGCGTGGGCAGGACTGAGGGGCAGAGATCGCAGCAACATTTAAATCTCTCTCCCTAACCAGGAAGAGAATTGAATACATGTAACATAAATGCACAGACAGCACAGCTCCACTACACCAAATACACTGAATATCAGAGCACACTGACTTCTCCCCACCTCCCCACTCGCCAGAGCTCTCAATGAAATTACACCATCTTTCCCAAAGCCAAGCCTTGGGCCACCGAACACCCTCCCTCTGTCACTTATCCCTCCCCGCAATTCAGGGGGGCAGAGCTGCCCCAGGTGACCGCTGAGGCCCTGTCCTGTGACGCACAAGGGTGGACCTGTGTCTGCAAGGAGGATTCGACACCAATGTGTCGCTTCTTACAGCTTGTGCTCAGGACCCTGGGAGAAGAATGGCCGGGCCTGGTATACTTTTTGTTTCCAAGCGTACTTTGTGTCTTTCCTAGAATTAGGCTGCTAAGAAGAGAGCGAAGCAGGTGGTACAGTTCATGCCGAATAGGTCTGACAACAACAGTCAAGAGGAACCGGAAGTGGAAGTTGGAAAGAGAGAGGCTCCAGCAGACTCCCCTCCCACCCCTCCGCCCCAGTTCTACTCGCAAGCCTCCGGTTCCCTGAGCGCCAGTCAGCCGCATCCTCATAGCCTCAGGGCCAGTGGCAGCAGGAGGGGCCCTGAGACCCTGAGGAGGAGGCTGCCGGTCCCTCTGTCACCTGCCTTCAAGGGCCCAGAGAAGGGAGCTCTCTGTCCCCCATCCTCACCCTCCATGCTGATGGACTATGTGGCAGTAAAGTTCTCCCAGGGGCCCAAATGTCCCCTGACAGCACTGCCCCACCCCCAATGTCTACGATGTCCCCCTCTGCTGTCAGCCTTTCCAGCCTTTGACCTGCCGTACTTTGGGGACCCCCACCCATTTGCACATCCTGCGGTGGCCTCTCTCCGCGGGCCAGGACCACGCGACAGCCACGAGCGCCACGTGCTGAGTCTTCCTGGTCTCATTCATGAACATAAACTTGGTGAGGTAGGATCACGCCACTGATATTTTCTTTAGAACATACTTACCTGGAGCATACGCCACCATTTTTTAAAAGCCCTAGATGAGATCTTAGAGGATCATTCCACTCCGTCCCTCGCCAGTCTGGTGACCTTAAGTTCTCTGCCCCTCAGCTGCCTCATCCGTGATGCAGGGATAACGGTACCCGCACCTCATGGGGCTGTAAAGAAGGCAACACTGAAACTCAGCTAAGGGCACGCAGCCTGCTACACCGCTGGAAGCCTGATCACACCCCCATCTCTTGGCAGGTGAATTCTTAGCAGTGGTACTTCCACTTGGGAACAAAGAAGAAATCACAAAATCTGCTGACGGCTGATGCACATGGGGGATCCCTCCTCCCTCTCATCTTCAGAAAAACCTCTTCCAAACCAAGGTGAAACGTCCCGCAAGTCCACAGAAGTCAGAAAAGTGAGCCCCAGAGCAAGGCTGGTTTAAAGCACTGGCAAGACCACACTCCCAGGCTCTTTTCTGAAAATCCATAAATGTGTACTCACTCATAAAATCACCGGCAATTATGCCTTCCCAGGACTCTTTTTTTCAGGATTGCATACAAAAATCTGTCCCTAATAATGAATCAAAGGCTATATTAAAACTAGACTTGCAAACGGGCTCACAAATGAAAGCTCCTTTTTAATTAGCCTAAGAGCTGAGAGAAGCTGAAAAACACTGAATAATCCATCTTTCCAGGACATAGCTAGCCCTCATGCTGGGAGATTTTTGCTTTAAATCCCACAAATTGATTTATCAGTAAACGTAAGGCCAAGCATTAAGATTTTCAAACTGATAAATTTAAAATAACTCTGAGGAACCAAAATATTCCGACAGGGCGTTGACTCTGGAAAGAAAGCACAGAATCACAGAAAGCAACTCCGGGGAACTGGTCTTCAGGGCCCACAGTGCCGGCATTCATGGGCAAACGGGTCCCTGCCTGTCCCCACAGACCCAATTCAGAGGCCGTGCCATTTACTGGGCGCTGGTCTGGAGTTCTGGCGGGGAGGGAAAGGTTTCAAGAGAAGCTGGATGAGCTGTGTCCCGAACGGTGAGGGTGGGTACCAAGCAGAGGCGCCTCTGCTTCCAACCACGGATGGATGTCATCTCGGGGTTGGCTCAACAGTGTCACACTTAGGGACTTTCAGTGTCAGAGCTGAGGGACCATTCGGGGGAGGTCTCTGAGCTACAACCTCAGGGAATTCCAGGCATAATGAAGCACTTGATAATGGCATTTTATCATAGCCAAATAGGCCACAGCCTTAAGGCAATAATTTAACATGTAAGCCCATGTATTTACATACAAAATTTCAAGTGGACCCATCTAATGTTTAAAATGAAGGGTTGGGGATTCCCTGGTGGCGCACAGGTTGAGAATCTGCCTGCTAATGCGGGGGACACGGGTTCGAGCCCTGGTCTGGGAGGATCCCACATGCCACGGAGCAACTAGGCCCGTGAGCCACAACTACTGAGCCTGCGCGTCTGGAGCCTGTGCTCCGCAACAAGAGAGGCCGCGATAGTGAGAGGCCCGCGCACCGCGATGAAGAGTGGCCCCCACTTGCCACAGCTAGAGGAAGCCCTCGCACAGAAACGAAGACCCAACACAGCAAAAATAAAAAAAATTAATAAAAAAAAAAAAAAAGAATATTTGCTTTAAAATAAAAAAAAATAAATAAATAAAATAAAATAAAATGAAGGGTTGGAGGGACTTCCCTGTCAGTCCAGTGGTTAAGACTCATCGCTTCCAATGCAGGGGGCACGGGTTTGATCCCTGGCTGGGAAACTAAGATCCTACAAGCTGCACGGCAGCCAAAAGTTAAAAAAAAAAAAAAAAAAAAAAAAAAAAAAAAGAAAGAAAGAAAAGAAAAGAAAAGAAAAGAAAAATGAAAGGTGGGAAAAAAATGTCACTTCATGCCCTATCAACAAATGCATGGAAGGTGCTGGATCAGTGCAGGGAATGGAGTGAGGAAAGAAAAACATCCCACCTCCCCCACCCGCCCTCCCCATAACCCATACCCCAAAGGAGCCCTGAGGACAGGAACCAGAACCTTTGGCTTTGAAGTCTGGGGATTCCTAGAAGCATTTTGTGTGAAAAATCAGAAAAATTGTGTGTTACAGAGCTCACATTTAATTAATATGAAAGAAAGGACGACGTAGCTACTGAAAGGATTGAGACAAACCTAAAGCCTCACAAGAATGAGGGACGGTCCCCTGACCCCCTCCAGGCCCGTCGAC